TATGAAGCGGTATATAAATGAAGCTGCTTTGCTTTATTACACCCCAAACCAAACATCTGACAGAATTCATGCACGCAGGCATGGTTCTGACACTCTCTTCCTCCCTCCCTCCACTTTCCCCAGCATTATTGTCTTTTCTAAAAAGTCCTCTCTTCTCATGATGTGTCTGAAGTACGACAGCCTCAATTTGGTCATCTTGGCTTCTTCCAGGGAGGTTTCCGGCTTGATCTGTTCTAGGACCCCTTGGTTTGTCCTTTTGGCTCTCCATGGGATCCTCAGCACTCTTCTCCAGCCCCACATTATTATCTCAAAGGCATTGGTTTTCTTCCTAGCCTCTTTCTTGACTGTCCAGCTCTCACATCCATCCATGGAAATAGGGAATATGATGGCATATATGATTCTGACTTTTGTGCTGAGTTGTATATCTTTGCATTTTAGGATCTTTTCTAGTTCTTTCATAGCTTCATTCTTAATCTTCTCAAGATTTCCTGACTGCAGTCCCCATTTCTATCAATGCTTGATCCAAGTAAGGAAAATCTTTTACTATTTCTATTTCTTCATTGTCTAGATTGAACTTGTGAAGGTCCTCAGTGGTCAGCATTAAGCCTGCCTTTGTACTTTCTTCTTGGATCTTCCTTAGTAGTTGTTCCAGGTCTGTGAGGTTTTCTGCTAGTATTACGGTATCATCTGCATATCTCAGATTGTGATATTCCTTCCTCCTATTTTCACTCCTTCTTCTTCTGTGTCCAAGCCTGCTTTCCTTACAATATGTTCTGCATACAAATTAAGCAGATAGAGTGAAAGGATGCAGCCTTGTCTGACCCCTTTGCCAATTGGGAACCATTCTGTTTCTCTGTCTTCTGTTCTGACATGTTTGCAGTAAATGGTGCAAAACAGCTGGGAATGAATGGGATTCTGCACTAACCCAATGACTAACCTAAAATAGGCAAGTGAAAGAGCAGCTGCCTCCAGGATCCCTTACTGCAGGGACCGGCAACCTATGGCCCAGGGGCCGGTTAAGGCCCCGGGCCCCGGACTTACCGGCCCAGGCCGAAGGTTGCCGCCGCCACCGCCACTGCCGCGTGCTGCCGTCAGGGCGTGTTTTCGGCCGCGCTCACTGCGATCGCCATTTTGGAAGTCAAAATGGTGGCCGCGATGCGTTTGCGCATGCGCAGTACTCTTGCGCATGCACAAACGCATTGCGGCCACCCTTTTGACTTCCAAAATGGCGGCCGCTACATGCGCTATGGTGGCTGTGGCCGCGCACGCTACGGCGGTGACCACGGTAGTGGCTGCGGCGGCAGCGTGTGCAGCAGAGGAGGGTGTGTGCGCGCCCATGAGCGCGCGCACCGCCATTCCCCCCCCCTCCTCAGCCCAGCTGAGACCTGGGCTATGGGAGACCGGCCCAGGTCTCAAAAAGGTTGCCTGTCCCTGCCTTACTGTATACATGTATACAGCAAAAACAGAGAGAAAGGAAGCGCAGATAAGCTATCACAAGGTTTTCTTGGCAGGATTTGTCATATCCCTGTCATATCCCAGTAAGGCATTAGAGCAGAGAAGGTTTGCCCTCTAAGGCTGAGAGAGTGTGACTTACCCAAGGTCACCCAGTGGGTTTTATGGCTGAGCTGGGAATCAAACCCTGGGCTCCAGAGGCAATAGTCCAACACTGAAACCACCACCAGGTAAGCCTACCTCACTAGCTAATCCCAGTTTGTTACAGAACAAAACATAGATCTTGAAGTTTAGCCCCCAAAATGGACATCATAAGAAAAGTGGAGGCTAGTGAAACAAAAAGTAATCTGTGTGGGTGCATTTTGCAGGAAACCTAGTTTACACAGTCTCTAGAGGGTTCAAGGTGCTTTTGCTTACTTCTAGAAGGCTGACTTCACCTGGATGCTTCAGTTCACATGTCTGTATTGTTTGTTTTGAATATAAAGATTGGTGAAACGTGTTGAACTGCTCTTTTGTGTGGTGTGGGGACCCATCTCTATTCTTCTGTTAAAGAAATAATGCCTTGGGACACCTCTACTTCTTTCATTGAGGTGCGTGAATTTTGTATTGGGATTCAAGCCTTTATGGGAAACAATCCTGGAAGGATTTTTGTCCAGTATGAGGTAATTCCAGGACACTCCTCTAGGTGGCGTCCTCTCCCTGTCATATCCCAGTAAGGCATTAGAGCAGATATTATCATTATTATTATTATCATTATCATTATTATTATTAATGCTGTTTGTTGTTGTTGTCATTGTTGTTGTGTACCTTCAAGTTATTTCTGACTTACGGCAACACTAAGATGAACCTATCATGGAGTTTTCCTGGCAAGATTTGTTCCAAGGAAGTTTGCCATTGCCTTCTCCTGAGGCTGAGAGCATGTGACTTGCCCAAGGCCACCCAGTGGGCTTTATGGCCAAACTGGGAATCGAACCCTGGTCTCCAGAGTTGTAGTGCTACACTCAAACCACTATGCCACGCTTGCTTCCCTGATGCTTTAAGGCTGTAGAAACCTTATCATTGGCTGCTCCATCGTCCCCCGTGTAGCTTTGACCCTTCTGTTTGGGGCTGGAAGGATGCTCTTGAAAAGCATGAAATGGTGAGATGATCCTGGGAGCAAACCAGCCTTCATTTTGCATTCAGGGTGAATGAGAGAGAAGGAATTGCCAGGTTCTAGAAATGGGCCTAGGGCTAGATGATGGGGCATGTTTT